TCTAACATTTATACTACTCAAAATAATTAGATGAATGCAAAAAATATCGTAAGCAGCAAGAGAAGTCAAAATAGGAGAGCAGACTAAGAAGAAGAAACCACAAGATTATACAATATTAAAATGCAAGCAATCCAATGTTTTCCGGTAATTCCATAGTAAATTGAAACCAACTTGAAACAAATGCATAGTCCTGTGTCAAGACCTTCCACTATTATTAGAAAAATGAAACAAAACATAAAGGAAACTAAAGAGAAAGAGCAACATGAATACAGCAAATGTACAAACCAACAACAGGAAAGTATCTTGATAAATAATGCCATCCATTTTCCCATCTACTTCAAATCAGGTCTTTCCTTTAAAATCAGAACAAGGTACAGGGGGCAATGTAATTTCTTCTACTCATAATACTCTTGGGAATATGGCTGATATAAAATAAATAAAAATTAATTTGAACCAGTACTACTTGAAACTGAATGAAACCTTGTCATTAAAACAACGTATGACTAGTTATCAATTGCCAAAACGTGACAAGATTTGATTTTCTCTTCAATATTTCATTAATTTACTCTCTCTATTTCTTGAAATATTTTTTATCCTTTTTACCATTCTAAGATGACTTTGCTCTTCTTTTCTGAAGGCTAGGTGTGAAAAAATAAGTTATTACTTTGAGATATTTATGATTTCTTGATATAGTCAAACAGAATTTGAATTTTACTTTCACACGAGTTTGAGATTTAGCCATTGCATTTTTCTTTGTTGAATATCTACTTAAACATTCATACACATACTGATGTATCATATATTCTAACTCTCTAGTACTTTTTCCTTGACCATCTGGACACTGAACTCCATACTATTTAACTTCCACAATTTTTTCAAACCTTAGTTACTTTCTTAATGCTTTCTAATTCCATATAGCGAGGACATACTTTGGAGTGGCTGAAGAACGTTTACTGTGTTGTTTCTATCCTGTCAGAATTACTTTGTGTTTCAGACAATTTGTAATGCTGCATGTGCCCAATATACTTGAGTATAATGTTTATTCTTCAGTTGTTAAGCGGGAAGCTCTGTGTACTTCTGGTGTGAAAGGTTTGACATTTCACCACTGCTATAATTTTCTCTATTAATGAAAGTGGGAGATTGTAGTTTTCACTCTAGTTTTGTATTTTTTTAATGTGATGTACACAACAACTTATTAAATATATATTGTTTGGTGTAATTCTTTCAAGACAGTTAAGACATAAAAGCAAAAATTATGTACTTATACTGTCTTTTGAAATTACATGATAATCTTCACTGATCTTTCTTATTTTTAACATGCATTTGAATTACCATTTGCAATTTTTCCTTTTAGTATGTACAATACTTCTTTCAGTAAATACTGGTAACAAATTTAGTTATTTTGATATGTGATAATAACTCAGTCTCTGTCTGTCTGCTTCTGTCTCTCTGTTTTTCCCTATCGGTCTCTCTCTTGTCTGTTTCTCTCTTTATCTCTCTGTGTCTGTCATCTCTCTTTTACACACAAACACACACAGACACATATATGCACACGTGTGCAAACGCACACACATACAAAACAGATTTTGGATATAGCTTACCTAAATTACGTGATGTAATTACTAGTTTATTAGTTTAATAATTCATTATGTTTTTCAAAATTCTGCTATTAATGGATGAATAGTTTCTTTCCATATCACCATATGGAGTTTAGCATCACTTTCAAGTTTTATGTGAGTTTCAAGTTTTATATGAGTTTTCCATCACTTTTAAGATTTTATCTCTTTCCAAAGTTTTGACTATGATGTGTTTATTTTTTATGTATTTTTAAATATATATGTTTCTTAATTTTCTTCTTCAGAACCATCTTGTGAGTTTTACAATGTCATATCCTTTTATAATTTTCATAAGTATCCAGGAGCTCTGCCTGCTTCTATACTACAAAAGATTGTCTAATAAAAGTTATATTTTAAAAAGTAAAAGAAAAGTGACTAAGATTTTTGAAAATAAAAGCAATTGATAAAGTAGGTACATTTTATACAACTGCAATAGTTTATTGACAATATGATTTTACAATATAGCTAAATTTACAAATATTTATTATAGCAATAATATGCACTATAAAACAGAAATAGTAAAACAAGACAAAGGTAGGATGTTGCTTGAATCTAATATGGTTAATTCACATATGATTTAATAAATAAATCATGATTTGGTAAAGACTAATAGCCCTAAAGTTATCAAGGCTCTCCAAATTTCTCTATATTATATAAGATCTATTTCAGTTCTCATACATTTTTACCAAAGTTATTAAAAGAATTCTCATGGAGACTGGCAATCTGCATCTATATTTGTCAGAGAACAGCAAATAGACAATAATAGCTCAGTTTAATACAGAAGCACATGGTAGAAGCGAAATCTCAAAGTTTAGTATGATGCTTTTATATTAATATAGGATGCCAGTAATGCAAGATTGAAAATGACAAGAAGGTTGAAATAAAATAGATATTTCTGAAGTGGTATGAGTCCAGTGTATTTTATTTGTGAGATACTAATCAGTATTAATGTGAAATAGAGAACTTAGACAATAATTTACTCCTAGGAAACCAATTATCTGTGTGGAAAAGAGAAAATTCCATATTATATTATAAAATGGAAAGGGAATAATACCCAAAGCAACCTTAATTAATTAAAGTTACGTGTGTGTTTGTGTAAAATATCAACCATAAAGGAGAATGATAATATTAATAAATTTTAAAAAGTAAGAGCTCAATGTAAATTTATAAATTTATAAAATTTATAAAAAATTCTTACAGAAACATTTCTAAATGGGTCCTTTAAAATATTTACTCTCCATATACAGGTACATTAGCTCTAATTGTGTGAAATTGTTATTTTATAGTTAGATATATTCCACAATGATGATTTAATTTAGTTAGCTGAATATAAACCTAAGTATATCAGTAATACATGCAAAAAATCTTTTTTTAATAAAAGAATAATTTGGTATTGCCTAGGACGTGGAGGTGAAACCCAGGGAACAAAACTCCTGTACTTCCCTTATGCAGTAATTTCATGCATGTAGAAAGAACAACACAAATGTAAATTCTAGAGATAGTGCAGAAAATGCAAGAGGCAGTGAATATTAGATTCTCCGTTGCTTCACAGAGACACAAGTCATGGCTTTGTTCTCCATACAAGTATCATTTCTGCTGCAGCTTCAATTATCCCTGTGGATACATTAAAGAGAGACTATGCACCAACACTTTCTCATATAAATAATGTCAGCCACCTAAAGACAATCCCCAAGAGAAAAAGCCTCATTGCAATTGTATTAATTTTGTATGATGAAAAGCAATTCGTATCTCAAGTGATGAACAACAGGACATGAAGCCATCTAACAAATATTTCCTGCGCTAATTCATGGCACTCCGACTTGTCATGCACTTTCTGAAAATACGAAACAACCATGGAGTCTGCATCTGTGTTGAGAAAACGAGGTCCTGATTTAACTGACTGGTATTTCCTTCTAAGTCATGGAAAAAAGATTACCGGATCATTTGGTATACCACTACTTAACTCTATTAGAAAACCTTTTTGCTGTGCAAATTGCTATATAATGAGGCATGACCAAAAGAAATTTAGAAAAAAAATTATTAACTCAGAGTGCCTTTTCTGTTTGACTACTTACTGCTAAAGCATTATAGGCCTGCTTATATCTTAAACAAAATAAAATCACACATAATTATGCATCTATTTTGGAGAATCATTTCCATTTTTCTAAGAAATTCTAATAGAGGTTATTATATGGTAGGATTCAACATAATAAAGCCATTTGACTAAAATAGCCGTCCATTTATTTGACTGTTTTAGAAATCAGTAGGACACTGATGATCAGAAATTGAACAGCTTTGGAATCATAGACAATATCATTTAGTGAAATAATGAATTAACCAAGCGTTCTGCTCTCTGTGAGTTTGTCAATATTGGAAAATTTTCCCATTGAAATAGTGTTTTTTTTTTCAAATAATGTTAACAAAGCAGCTAAAGTTTCTTTATTTTGACTAGAATACGATTGTGAGACAATCACGTTCTCATTTTGAATATTGAATATTGAATTCAATATTCATTTTGAATTTTATTTACAAAATGTAAATAATGTGACTATCATTCTCCTGATGAGGAGGAACAATGAAAGTGCCCATTGCTAGGGTGAAATAATAATGACTCTACAGACAGTATGGAACCAGTAACTTCTCATGAACTAATTTTACTTCAAGCTGAAATCACAACATGACATTATTACTTAAATGCTCACAGTTACTGCATCACATAGCCAATGCCAATCTTCATCTAACTAATGCAAAATGGAATTCTTGCTTTTACTTCCAATTTCCTTGCCTATATAACAACATACATAAAGAATTCTATAGAAGTTTAATATTTATGGTTCAACTCCTTCAATGGACAGAAATATGGCTTTTATTATCTCAAGATAAATGCTTCAGGGCATCCTGGCTGTTGTCTAGGTAACATAGTATTCAATAAAGGTAGCTTTGTGTGTTCATATTTCCATCCAATCTGTCTTTCAATACAGAGTTTCTCAAGTAGGCCTTTTCAATATAGCAATGTTTTACCTAATTAACTTCTATAATTTCATTATAAAATTATGTACATATCTTTGGGAGATGGTTAACATGGACATCCTGACAAACTCCTTGAAGACTGTTCTAATAAAATATGCTTTGCATTTACATAAAAATATCCGCTCTTACTATCTCATCACTGCGGTCCATTCATACACTATGTTTTGCTGTGGATATTTTGATTTGTGTCAATCGGTAAAGTTGGAAGAGGTAAAGAAGGAGAGACTATGATTGGCCCTTTCATAGTTTGAAGTAGTAGAAAGGTTCACAGGATCTGTAGCCTAGAAAAACAAGTACTATTTTGGCATACGTTTTGACATGATGCAAGTAACTGTCACTTCCACTTTTTTCTAGATAACTCCTTGAGCATTTTGGCAAAGCATAATGGATTCAACCGGCAGAAGCAAGAAGTCTACCTTTTACCTATAGTGATCAGTGACAGTGGGAATCCCCCTCTGAGCAGCACCAGTACCTTGACTATCCGGGTCTGTGGCTGTAGCAATGATGGTGTGGTCCAGTCATGCAATGTTGAAGCTTATGTCCTTCCTATTGGACTCAGTATGGGAGCCTTAATTGCCATACTAGCATGCATCATTTTGCTGCTAGGTGGGTATCGCCTTCATAGCTTAAAGTCATTACTGGCTATAAATAAAGATATCACCCTCTGGAATGTAGCTAACATTCTTTAGGGGAAGAAGAACTCTCAAAGTCAGAGGTTATTATGAGAAGATAAAGTAAGAAAGAATAGTGAAAACTTGGCCTACCTTGACAGGAATTGTTGCCTTTTTCATCCCATCACGAGTATGGCAATAGGAATGGGAATGGTGTTCCCTACACTCATCCTAACACCAGTTAAATCACAGGTTGCAAGTGAGTTTGTTACAGAAGGTAGTTCTTTTTTATCCACATTACCATTGAATATAAGTGATGCATGGATTGGGAAATTGCATCATTAGATCTCATAGTTCAGTGAGATAAACAGAAATTACATAAGCAGATAAAAATGTGCTCTCATTCAAACAACATTCTATTTTATAGATATTTTCATTGATATAAGGTAAAATGCCAAAAAATAAATGCAAACTGATAAAAAAAGGTCTATTACCTTTCCATTAAAAATTCTTAATATGAAAGTAAGAATAAGCCTGAACACAGTGAAATCATTCCTATTAGCCAGCACTTGGGAGAAAGAGGAAATTCTGGGGTTCCAGGCTATCTTGGGCCACATGTTAAGACTCTGTGGCCCAATAACAAATAATCTGTATCTTTATATCTAAAAAAATAAAAGGAAATTATCTTTATCTTGAAAAATAAACTGTCTTAAGAATTGTGTCAGTACATAATTGGTTTGACTGATCAACTACTTTGGTAATAGTCCTTTCTCTTGTCCTACATTGGGACAACGTTTCCAGATAGGGGATTGTCAATTGTCATTGAATATAAGACATTATTTATCTAGCAATCTATACATTGTGTGAAAGTAACACATCATTTAATTAGAGAATATCTTATATATTACAATATTGTCGTGGCCATAACTCAGTGATTGAGTGCTTTAAAGTATGTAGAACACCCTGGTTTTTTATTTCTGCTATCAGCAACAACACCACCAGAAAAAGAATTTCTCAAATACCGTACATATTACATATAAGAAAGATGAGCAGAAGCCAAGTATTGAGAACAGTTCACACAATATACTTAGCATGTTACTCATGCTGCGAATGCTATTTTTTATATTGTGGGACTCACATTAGAGTTGATTCCAGATTATATGCATTTATGCCACCACAACAAAATGTTTATTAAACAAAAGTGATTTCGGAGTAATATGTACAAAAATTAAGTGCTTGTCATTCAGATAAGTGTTTAGCTTGATTTGTTATTAAAGATTTTGGCAATCCGGGTGTGAGCATGACTGGCTACTTTAGAACCAGTCTCAAGGCACAGGATTGAAAGGGTTGTAAACAGGAGCTTTCTACCGTGCTCTCCTCCCCATCAACTATTCTGCTTTGATTGTGACAGGAAATGCTTTTTGACTGATTGTGATTTGATATTTTTTTTTCTTCCAGTCATTGTGGTCCTGTTCGTTACCCTGAGGCGGCATAAAAATGAGCCATTAATTATCAAAGACGATGAAGATGTTCGAGAAAACATCATCCGCTACGATGATGAAGGAGGCGGGGAGGAGGACACAGAGGCTTTTGACATTGCAACTTTGCAAAATCCAGATGGAATTAATGGATTTTTACCCCGTAAGGATATTAAACCAGATTTGCAGTTTATGCCAAGGCAAGGGCTTGCTCCAGTTCCAAATGGTGTTGATGTCGATGAATTTATAAATGTAAGGCTGCATGAGGCAGATAATGACCCCACGGCCCCACCATATGACTCCATTCAGATTTATGGCTATGAAGGCCGAGGGTCTGTGGCTGGCTCCCTCAGCTCCCTGGAGTCCACCACATCAGACTCAGACCAGAATTTTGACTACCTCAGTGACTGGGGTCCCCGCTTTAAGAGACTGGGCGAACTCTACTCTGTTGGTGAAAGTGACAAAGAAACTTGACAGTGGATTATATAAACAATCAATGGAACTGAGCATTCTGTAATATTCTAGGGTCACTCCCCTTAGATACAACAAATGTGGCTATTTGTTTTAGAGGCAAGTTTAGCACCAATCATCTATAAACTCAACCACATTTTAATGTTGAACCAAAAAATAATAAAAATAAAAAGTATATGTTAGGAGGTTATAATTCTTGTGGAGTGTGAATTAAGTATGTGGAGTGTCTAGAAGTCTTTGAATATTTGATATTTAACTGACTGCCTCGGTCAGAGATTGGGATCCTAGTTAACCATTAGAGAATTGTTTAAGAGGAAAAAAAACAAAATTAAAAGGTGCTTTATTAGAAAAAAAATGAACCTGCAAGTAATCTGCTGCTGATATGTGTCTTCTGCAAGGATTTTTATGAGTGCAAATGGTTTCTTTCCCCTTCACCAATAAGGATCCCGTCACAAATGATAAAGCAATACTTTGGTCCGCTGTACGTTATGACTTTGTGGAGTTTGGGGAGGCCTCCTAGATTATATGGTACGCGGTGACCACACGTTGTACATAAATGTTGGCCCCACTCACCAGAGACTGAATAGCATCTTTAAATATTGTGTCGAGCCTTAAAAATATTCACATATTCGTAATCCATTCCAGGGTGGGGAATGCCAGCTGAAAGGTGGGAGGAGAGACATGCCATTCAAACAGGCTGTGTCTAGAAGCAGGAAGCCTGGTTCCCTCCACTTCATCTTCTTCCACAAGGACACAGAGATAAACTGTATTCCACAGTGGACCACATCAGAGACAGATGGTTTTATTGCTAGCGTGTGAATTTATTTGTTTAATCCTCAAAATAAATATTTTATTGATGTCCAATAATGCTTTTATTTATTAAGGTTGGTAATCTATAGATTAAGGGATTATATGGGGAAAACGAAATTATATCCATTAATAATCCTTTAGATTGTTTTATATTAATATCTATACAATGAATGTTTAATACATGTACATTTTGATGAGCTAAGTATGGCAGGCAATATTATCAAGGGGAGAGGTAATAGTCTCTTTAGAGTAGAAAGTGATATTGTGACTGATAATGACAGGAACAGCATTTCCCAGAGAAACTTTTGGACTGTTTTCTATTTTCTTCATAATCCTAGTATTTGGTGTTTTTACTACAAGCACAAACATCTGAAGGTATATTGATTCCTGTGAATATTTAAACTCTAGACTTTTAGATACTTACATAATGCCCCACCCAATAAAAATGCTTCAAGTTGTCCTCCCCCAACTAATTTAAAGCAGGAACTGATTTGTACATAATTTTACTGCTTATGTTTTTTACACTTCTGTCCCTGGTCATGGTGATGCGCAGAACGTGTTAGACTACAAAAACCGAGCAGCGCTAGAATATGTGAGCATATTTAGTTTGTAATGCAAACCTGCCATGTAGGAGTAGAAAATGTATGATAAAACTCAAGTATTACATGCAGATCATTTTACTTTTATACTTTGCTTTAATGCAATATTGTTTATTTACTCCATGTGTTGTATTCAGAGAAACTCCTGTATTGTTTCCTACTTTGTGAAATATATTTTTATAAATACCTTTGTTGTCATCATTTTGTCCAGCTACATGAAGATCACTTGACAAAACTATTGACTCTAACTAAAATTCCAAATTGTGCGATCAAATCACAATGTGGGGTACTTTTAGTGTTAAGAGAATTTTAATAAAAGCTAGAGACGAGAAATGGATTGCTATTGATCCCATAGCAAAAAATTATCAAAGACATAAAAATAAATGTTGTACCTAAAAAACAATCAAGTATGTTTTGGGGGCCCCTGGAGGCAGAGGCTGGGGTGGAGTTAGCAGAAAAGGGTAAAGGAACAACAAGGCAATTGTGCTTAGGAAAAGACTACAAGTCCAAACTGTGAAGAAATGATGGAACTGAAGAACAGGATTTGGAGAGAGAACATAGACTACATTGCAGATTTAAAAACCACTCTTTTCTAGATCCTTAAAGGATCCATTAGAACAAGGTCTGTGGACTATTGTCATCTGCTATTTCAGTACCTAGTCTGGGCGAAGGAAAACATGGATTGCGCTTGGAGACAGAGGACAGTTTCTGGAAGCTGTCTCCATTATGACAGAAACAAACTGACTAAATATTCAACTAAACTATAATAGTTTTCCAAGGGCTTACCATCTCCTCATTGTTTCCTATTGCCTGATCACAATCCTTTTTTATACCTATCTCAGTGGCTACTAAAAACTTTTCATGAAGTCAGAAGGAATCTACTGTGACTTTTGTATATATCAGATTAGCAAGGGTCATAAAACTGTTAATATCAGCTATAGTAACAATAAAAAGTCAAATCCATACTCTCACATTGTAAACCAAGGTGGAACTGCTTTCTGTCTTCTCCTTTCACTTCAAACTTAACTCCTTTTTTAGGAAACTGTCATGCAGAGGCGTGTTTAACTGACATATCACACTATTCTTTTATAGAAATATAAAATCATCATCTTCAGTGTTGTTGACCAATAGAATGATTTTCATCTGATACTGCTTGTGGGCAGGAGACAATGTATGCTGAACCAGTTTTCCCAACCTTCCTTTAAATTTTCCTTGGTCCAGGAAGACATCATGGAAACATGAATTCTATATTAGCAATGCCTTCCACTAACATCCAAGCATTTTGTGTATCGAAGCTAATCTAAAGTTTTGATATGCTGGATAAAGTGGAGCTATGTATGGCTATTTTTGAATAATATGGTTTTGCTATGTGTAATATGCTCCTAGAGTATCCTCAATTTAAATTATATTCATGGACCCACAACTATACAACTAAATAATAACATTTATTTTAGGAAAACACTTACTAAAATTCCCACATTCAAAGTATTACAATGGAGATCAAAAATATTTTATTGAGATTTAAGGATTTCTTCCTTAACTTTAACTTTAACTTGGTTTTCATTTTATATTAATGAATTTTTTGTGCTAGCAATACTGACACATCAAAAGAATCTTCACACATGTATTATCAAATGCAATATTGCCTCTTTTGACACTACTTTTGTTGTGTCCATGGACTTTCTGTGTCCTAAACAGCAGCCTCTTTTAATGATCGCCCAAGAATTCTGTGCCAAATAATATGTTGAAACAAAGTTAGTCTCTCTCTGCTTACTCTACTGCAGAGATCTTGTCTGAGGAATTGAGGTGTCCCTGCATGGCTGGAGGCCACACGGCATCAACTCTTGCCTTTACTTTCTGTATTATGTGATCAAACAACTTTTTAATCTCCATACAAACATATTACCAAATATTAGTAAACCATTCCTAATAAAATTCTCACGAAGAGTATAGTCAATATATATTTAAAATGGTTTCTGATAATATGGCTGAAGTATGCTATAAATTATACTCATGTGTTACCTTTCCCATGCCAAATTGTGCTGTGATACAAACTTTACAGTAAAAGTATTTTGTATCAAAAAATTTGGGTGGTGGTGGTAAGTTTATGTGTGTATATAATGTGAACGAAAACTTGGATTCATCAGTATCCCCAGTGAGGAAAGAATCCTCAGAAAGAGACAAATAAGTCTTTTGAGAGTTTGCTTAATCATATGCTTAAAGTAAGACATGTCTCTGCATGAAACTTAGAAATCTCCTAGGAGCAGCCGACTCCACACTGAGACTCCACAGAGAGCTGAGCTATCTGTATTTTGGAGAAGGGAAGCGGGTGCTGAGAGCTAAGTAGCCAATTACGTTTTATAGCCACATAAGGACTGGAGGCAAGTAGTCCTTTGCAACATGTTGTATTATGCGATCGTTGGCTTTGCAGGGAATCTCACGAATGTATAACCTTCTGATTGCCTTTTTGATTGAAAGTTCCATCTGAGATCAAGGCAGTGCAACCAGTAATAAGATTTCAAAAAATCCCATCACTGGCACTGTTGGAAAGGTTGCGCGTGCCTGAAATCCCATCACTGTCAGTCAAAGAGATAAGGTAACAGTGGGCATCACTATAAAAGCTGCATGAATGCACAATTTAAACATGAACATCAACACAGAAAAGAATGGACACATATTTGTATGAATGTCCATATAGACACATAGATACTCATGTGTATAAATGCATACACACAAGCGTACACACACAAACAAACACACACACACACTTGGGATAAGTTACTTAGTATGATTTATACTAATGTGTTCTCATTTTAATACTGATAAGTTTCCATTTCACAGTCTCACACACTACAAAAGAAAATTTGAAATGATGGTTCTTTGTTTTTCTGACTCTAACCTTGAAGTTGAAAGAAATTTGTCTCGGGGTAAAGGATTTAAATGTGAGTTTTGTTTATGAACTTAATAATAGCTCATAAAGCCTGGGATTAGAATTAAATGCATCTCACTGAGAAGCTGGATTTGGATGCTTTTGTATCATTGTATTTTTGTGGAGATAATAATTGTAGAATATATTTTGTAGGAAATAATTTTCTCTATGTTTACTTTTCTTTGATTCCTACTCAGTTTTCTTTGCTAAACAAAATCCTTTGCATTGTTGCTCAGATGGCCAAAAATGAATAAAATGTTTCCTATCATTGTTGCTCTTGTTTATGACAATTATGATGTTTTCATTGTCCATCATTAAAGGAGATATTTATTTTGATCATTATCTGTGTAGTTGACACACAATTATTGATCAGAGTATATTCTTATTATTACTGTATCCCATACAACTATTCTGGATGACTTCCATAATTACAGAACACAATACAATTAAATATCCTACTGCGTCTATAAGAAATTTGTCTACTACATTTACTGAACCTGTACTAGAGCTGTAATTAGGCTACATAGGAGTTATAAAAAAAGTGAAATGTAATGGTATCTCTGAACTTCTTTGCCCACATATAAATTGAAGCTAATAGAGCACATCTAAACTAATCACACACATTCTTTATCTGTGGTTAAATAGCATTTAAATCCGGGCTTACACAAGACTGAATAGAGTTCCTAGCTTTCCTTAAATGGTCCCAGCTCTAAATATATTAGGAGCCATCAAATGGTAAGAAACAAAAAGCAAGTTACCTATTGCTTTATGAAAGGAAGAAACTCAAATTGCCAAACAAGAAGACTTTCTGAGTGCTCTGCTTTCAAAGATGGAAATTAAGCAACTTCAAAGAAGCTATACAGTTTCCATAATCTCACACATTTTTTATAAAGAGCAAATATGAGTGTCAATGATATATTTGAAAGTTCAAGGAAGAATCCAACTGCACAGAGAATACCTTGAGTATGCCTAAATTATGACACGTGCTGTGAGCAACATTAAAAACAAAAAAAAAAGACCAGGAATTTATTATTAAGGGGCTTGGCAACACTAATTTGCAGATCCAATAAGTGCAAGAGACAGAAGCTGAACTCTAGTCTTTCAGATCATTTCTATGACAGGGACATTGAGTGTGCTTAGCACAAATGCTCTTCTTTTAATGATGGCAGCTCGCTCGAAGGTACTTCCTGGTGGCATGGGTGCCTGTGAGACTCTCCTTTCCACCTGAGTTACTTGATGCAAGTTGACTCACACCTTGAAGACAGGTCTAACCTCTTCTTAGCTACACACATAGATAATGGATTTCTCTATTGTCATTCACAGATGACAGAAGAGGCTTGCTAAGAGGAATACCGGTGAATGTTGACTGAAGCAAAGAACTGGGGACAACAGTGACTTCCAGGAACCAAGAGGCCAGAGCTTCAAAAGGAAAGGAGAGGTCCCGTAAATACACATGCTAGTTCTTTCAGATCTCCTCTGTATAGTCAAAGGTCTCCAGGGCTACTTGGATATAAGCAATATTTTAACAATTACTGTCTAAGGGTGAACTCAGCAATTATGAATCATTGGCTGGGACAACTCTGTTTCTATCATATGGTTTCCCTTGATTGTGACTCTCTCTGATACTTTTTTTTTAACAAGGTTTTCTGTAATTTGATATCTGAATTTTGAGTGCTATGACTTGTTTGTCAAGTGTGAGGGTTGGATATGTAGCTAGATGATAAAAGTTCACTGTTAGCATTATCAATAATCATGGTTCAAATAAACTTTTGAAATTTATTCCTAACAAAAGATGTCTTTTCTACCAAACCTGTTCTGGATACAGTGCCTTGACAGGGAAATCATATATGTTTAACATATTAAAATGCTTCTCAAAGAAATGACATATTATTGGATAGATTAGTACAGAACCCAATACATGATGAAGTATCAAATTTGTTTTTATGGTTGAAAATGCTAGGAATGTTCTGAAAAGAAAGAGAAAGTATTCTATAGCCTGCAAATTCATGCATAATCTATTATGCAAGGGTGTGCTGAAATGAGTCTTAGACAATACTATGCACATTGTCTCATAGGAACAGGTTCTGGGGGCCTGAAAATTAATGACGAGTTATCAACTTTTCTCAGTCAACTTTCGTTGAGTCAACAAAGTTCTCATGTGACAAAATTTCTCTCTACCTAGAGAATGTAATGTGCTGAGAGAGTATTCCAATGTTCTAGATGATTATAATAAAATAAGTAAGTGTTTGAAAACTTGG